TGGCGCTGCTCGGGACCTGTCCGTCATTCAAGATGTGAAACGTCTTGCGGGCCGCAGATTTATGAAGATGGTTTAAAATCTTAGCTTTCTCATGTTTATTGGTCTAAAAGACGTTATAATTAACTATTTTACTTGCTTTGGTACAGTTTTATATGATTTTATACACACAAAAAATCGCAGTTTTGCATGAAATGGAGTATTACTAAATATAAGATATTATAACGGTGACTCTCGAAGCTCGCCAATGAAAGTTTACCGTTGGGTGTTTAGAAACATAACAGATTAACAGCCACTCATAGACAAATCTTATTGGGGGTTGCACTTTCCTCCCCCTGCACGACCGAGGGCAAGAAATAGGCTAGTTTACGTATCTTGAAAAAGATTTCAAAGCAACCATTAGCAAGGTCTCCAAAAAAGCTTCGTTCTTGGGGCTTTCGGGTTCGATAAGGGTTTCGGCCAAAGACATATCAGCTGACCGCAAAACGTCTCCGTCGTACTTCGGAGAAAAACCTCCGGTACCCGGGTTAGGTGCCATGAAAGAAAACAATTTGTTATAAAGCTGGAAATTTTTCTCAACAGCGCGTGCTCTCATTGGCTATTTCGAGGTCACATGACATCTAACAATGAAACTGTTTCCGGTCAAAAAATTAAATCCCGAGCGGAGTTAAGAATATTGTGAACTTCTGAAGTTGAACATACCCCCATATATCAGAATATTCTCAAAATGAATCCATGTCATGGCTTGTCAGTGATTTCGTTAGACTGAATCACTGTTTACTGCAGTCTTACTTGCAGAAGGAACGTTGATTCGTGCAAGATTTGCTGTGATGATGACGGAGAGGACAAGGTGGGCTGCGATGCTTTTGCCCAATACTTCTACGCAAATTGCCTTCGTGTCGATTACCATCCTTTTTTTTTGTCCCCGTTGATAGCCAACGGCACAAATTATTTTTGTTTGACAAACCACATACAATGAGAGGCCGACCATTGACTTTTAAGGGAGAATCAAAGACATTTTATGGAGTTAAACTCCGTGAGAGAATTTTTTCGCGCCAAGTCTGTTAGCACATAGAGGCCGACGACCATTTCAAAGAAGCGGCCGATGCAAAGACTAAACATCATATATGAAACACGAGGCAAAATACCATTTGTAGCGAAACTTTGGAACGGAAACGGACTACGAATAAACGAAGACGAATAGAAGAAAAAAAACAGCGAAACTATCACGAAAGCTGAAATCCTTAAAAGGTCTTAAAAGAAGAATAGTTACCTTATCTTCATTAAAACTCACCCAGTCAGAAACTAATTTATTAGCGAAGGGCTTGAATTTTTGTTCAACTCCACCACCACCGTAGCTAGAAACTGTCAACAAGGGCATGGATGCCTTTGCCAAAAAGCTTAACATTAGAAAGTACCATGCTCGTGATAACACTGATGATGTCTATTGAACAACATGCAACCAATGTACCGACCTTCAATACTTGAGAAATTGAATCAAAGAGAACGCGGGGAATATCATTTACAGGCCATCTAGGGACTAACCATAGTCAAGGAGGAACTTGAAAAAAATGGACCGAGCCATCCTTTGGCTAAGACATTAACTTTTTTCAAGTTTCGAGTCAAACCTTACAAGTACCCCATGGGCGAAAAAGATGAGGATTAATTAATTTCCATCCCTTTCGAATCGTTGTGTATTTGACTCTTTTTGTCAATGTTTTTTAATAAAGTTTTTTAAAACGGTATGTCGTGTCTGTTTTTTGGGGGAGCGTTTATTAGTCATGTGTGTTTAATTGATCCTTGTTAAGTTATTAATTGTTTGGTGTTTTTATAATAATAAGTCAAGGCTGTAGAGCCAATTTGTATGCAAATAACTGCCATAATTAACTGACTAACGGCGCTCCGCTTTAATGTCGGAATTGTGGTAAAAGCCATCGCAACAAAATGATATTCGCCCTGTATTAAATCTACAACTTCGTATTTTTTTACGAAATGGTGCGTTTGACGAAAACTGGCAGGCTTTTATTTTCTAAACACAATAGGCCCACTTTTTATCGCCTTTTTAAATGCACCGTCCTTAAAATATGAATGAATCACTAAACCAGAAAGTTTTCTTGTGTTTTTCACAACACTAAAACTGATCCCTGTTAATGACTAATTTCCCTATTCTTTTATATAATTCAACCAGTGAAACCCCTACAATTTCATATACCTGAAGCCTGAAAAAGATAGCCCTTCCGGACGGAGCCTCCCGTATAGGCCATCATAGGGAGTACCCCCGAGGTTACGGTAATGAACCGGAAAACTTTTCTTTTGCCAAGTGTTGCGGAATAACTTGCAACTTTCAGTACAGTCGTGATGACTGTGCAATTCTTGATATGATAATAAATTGGCTAACGTTTTTTTGTTCGCAAACCGCAAACTATATCAGGTCCTGAAGTTGAACCGTCATTTGGTCGTGGGCAAATAATTGTTTTTATAATTTCAAAATATAAATGAGGTTGAGGTCGGGTAGGACTTGATATTTTGGGGAGCACTTTCAAAGAAAAGAGCTAGCGAACAGGTTTTGGCAAAAACTCGAAAAAGAAGAACAGTTTTTGTTACAAAATGCGCCGATTACAAACCTACCACTGACATGTTTAATTAGAATGTGTAGCCCAACCGGGCTGGCGCTGCTGAGTCGGTTGTTACATAACCGCAAAGTAATTTTTGTTTAACTAAGATGCCGAGAATTCCACAAAGCTAGACAGCTCAGGCCCTTAGTATTTTAGCCAGATTTTACGCCCTCCCTCTGGACCTCACTGAGCCCCCCAAAGCCCCCCAAACACACATACAAAACAGACTGCAACTACACTATCACTTCATAACCAAATCCACGTCCAATATAACCAGGGGTTAAATTTAACCCAGGTTTCTTTTTATTGTGTTCAAAAGCATTTTGAACACAATAAAATATATTTTTAGAGCTTCCCATCATCAACTTGTAGACGAAAGAATTCAAACTGAAATGGTTTTTAAGCTTTCAAATCTGAATTCAAATCTCGCACTTACCCTGGGTTATTAACCCAGCTTTGAGCAACTCGGCCCAAGTTCTTTAATTAGTCACGGGGTTTTACTGTATGTGCCTCTGTTCAGCCTTACTGGCTAGCTGAGCCAACGAATTCAGTTTTCTCTCCTTTCTCCTTGCAACTAGGGACTTTTTACCTCGCGAATGGTGCCTGGCGGTGAGGAGCGAGCACATCTAGTCAAAAGTCTAGGCATCGTTTCCATCTAGGCAACGTTTGAGCCTGAGCAAGCGAAACAAAATTCTCCCTTTCAGTCATGCAACTCGTGAACCCCTGTATGACGCCTATCCTGAAGAAAGCATCCCTGGAGCACCTCCAGGAGGTTTGAGTATAGTTTTCAGTAAAGGGCACGTATCTGCCGCACACTCGGAGCCACCGGACCATAGTAGCTGGAATAGTGACGTGAATGTTTATACATTTTATAGCGCAAGGATGACACATTATTATATAAACACCAATGAAATACCAGGTGAAAACATGATATCTTCACACGTGAAAATAACATGTTATTTCCACGTGTGAAAATATCACCGTTGCTATCGCTACATAATAAATCGCGCCTTTCGCAGGATAAAACTGTTTCAGTGAAATGGTTTGGTATTTCATTGGTGTTTATATAATAAATAGAACATTACATGGCCGCTTGGAGATACGAAATTTCTCTTCTCGAGTTGAAAATATTTCACTCGTTCGCTGCGCTCACTCGTGAAATATTTTTCAACACTGGAAGAGAAATTTCGTATCTCCGCGCAGCCATGTAACATCCTCTATATCTGTTAATGCTCTGCCTTCTTTTTAAGAGAAAAATTCACGGATTTCTATCCGATAATCTGTTGGATAGGGACGACTTGTTAAACATAGTGGGCCAGTTATTTAAACGGAGTTTAAGCAGTGTCTAACAAAACTGCGTTCTAAGCCATTTTCAGTTTGCCCAACGCTTTTATCTTAACACCATTTATCATGAAATGTTCCATGAAAGCTTAAGGCCTAGTAAAGAATCATATCGTTTAAACCACCGACCCAGTTAAAACACAGCTCCAGTTCATACCATAGAGAGGCCAGCAGGGCCCATCCGTGATTGCGAATGGGATGAATGGGTTTAGGTAGCATCTCTTTGGAAATGTTAGAGGAGAAACCCTTCATAAGCCAAAAAAGCCAAATAGGATTTCTTCGATAATTAACGTGTAGAAGAGAGACCGGAATTTTAGATTTTCCCTTCCACTTGTTATTCTTAATGTCATAGATCTCAACGGTTGATGCGAATGGGAAAGTACTATTAACAGTCACCATGCACAGTAGGTCATTTAAACACACCATACTTGCTACTCTCAAACGAGCGGGACGTGTATGCAAACTCAGTGCCACGTTTTGCCATTGATTAGATGATACATCGTACATTTCAAAGCTTATCACAGCCCCACTAACAACGAAGATCTTTCCATGAGCTGCCACACCACAACCATTATGTTTCTCCTCGTTCATATCAGCGATTCTCTCCCATTTTGTGTCGTATCTTCTAGCTTGGCGTTTGTTCAGACCCGTGCCAAGAACGTAGAGAAAGACACCCATGGGTACAGCAATGACTCCATCATCAATAAAAGGAGTTTCCTCTCCTGAGGAGACAACAGTCCATGTTCTTGGATTAGAGAAGGACTTATACTGAATGGACTTAGAACGAACGTCAATAAAGTAAATACGTTGCGCCAGTCTAGCGGCCACGGCATGCATTCTTGGCCCTATACTCCGAGTTTGCCATCTACCCGAGGACGGATGATAATTATAACTATATCCACGATCATATTGGCCTAAACACGGAAACCTATAGTCTTCTCCTCTTAAGAAAATAGTTTCAAATGGTATACCACGTGGATACTGACTGAGGTGCGTTAAGGAGACTGGCAGCCGGTACCACTTGTCTTTCACGGTGTCGTAACACAACGATTCTGTTCCGATGAATATGACCAGATGTGAGTCGCTCCATGTTCTAGGAGACTGCTGAGGATCATCGCTTAGAAGAAAAATTCCTTTCAAAGCGTCTTTAACGCGCTTTAAACAGCATGAACTCTCTTTCACGAAGCGGTTAGTCACGACATGTTTCTTCAAAAAGCCACGCGATATAAAGGACATTCGCACGTGACGAAATAACTCAAAGAAGTTTCTTCTTCTCTGGCTGTTTGCCTGATTAGTCCAGTTGAGAATGATCCTGAAGACAACTTCTTCCGAGCTCACAACTATTTCATCGCAGCAAATCCACTTCTCTACTTCTTGGCTTTCCAGTTGAAGAAACTCTTGAGATTCAGCCACATCGGCGAAGTTTGCAAAGATATATTCTCTTGCGGTGACCGCAAGCTGCGCCACTTCTCCGCATGGATATCTTTCCGCAAAATAATAAATTGAAATACAGTTTGAAGGTTGTAATGTCTGTCTTAAGAACCCCTCAGCCGCCTCTTTCAAGACTGGAATAAGAAAATAATCTGCTGCCTTGAAAAGATCTTGAGCATGTTGAACATTCGTTATGTGTACCGTCCCCGAGCGACAAAATTCTAGCACATCTCTCATAACATTCTCGCTAATATGTTCTAAGCGAATAATTCCTTCCCTCCTCTCCTCCATGTCGGTGTTTTGAAGCATGAAAAAGAAATCACTCGCTGCTGAAAGTTCGTTCCCATTCACCCTAATCTCTTTGTCATCTTTTAGTACCAGAGTCACGTCCGTTGCTTGCTCTGACTGCATTTTCAACTGAGTTAGGAAAATAGCTATCGACTTTCGGGCCAACTTGCGAAATTCAAGCACAATAGCTCACAATAGTCCGTCATGCGCGCGCATACTTAGCATAACGTTATGCCTTGTAAGCTTCAGTACACCCGGGAAAGTACTCAGCAAAATTTTATACGGGAAGCTCAACCCCGAGGGATAAGCCTTCACCCTTTTATATACTATTTATGATGGAAAAGGTAGCCATTTCCTTTATATCTTTTGTTGAAAAGTCTTGACATACCTAGTTTTATCGCCCTTGAACTGCTGTAAATGCGATGTCTTCAAAATACGAATACCGTATATCACTAAACCAGAAAGTTTTCTTGCTTTTTTTTAACAACAATAAAATGCCCCTTTTAATGACAGATTTCCCTATCCTTTTATATAATTCAACTAGTAAACGCCTACCCTTTCATTTACCTGAAGCCTGATTCAGACGGAGCCTCCCCGTATAGGTCATTATGGGGAGAACCCCCCGGGCTACAGTAATGAACCGGAAAAGTTTTGTTTTGCCAAGGTTGTGGAATAACTTGCAACTTTCAGCACAGTCATGTTGACTGTGCAATTCTTGATATGATAATAAATTAGCTGAATTATTCTTGCTGGCAAACCGCAAACTATATCAGGTCATAAAGTTGAACCGCCATTGGGTCGTGGGCAAATAATTGTTTTTATAATATCAAAATATAAATGTGGTTGAGGTAGAGTAGGACTTGATATTTTGGGGAGCACTTTTGAAAAAAGAAACAGAGCTAGCGAACAGGTTTTGGGTAGCTAGAAACTCGAAAAAGAAGAATAGTTTTTTCTACAAATGTGCTGCAGATCAGATAACAAACCTTACACTGACGAGTTTTAATTCGAGTGTGATAAACAACTATTCCGTACGAACGTCATCATAACGGCTGAGTGAACAACAACCGAACTTTGTGACACTCAAAATAGCGTCGTAGGATCAATATCATTGCTGAACCTGAAAAACGATTAAGATTTATATCTTCTGTACTGTCGAACCTACCGAAAGCGTGCGACCACCTGCAAATGCAATGACTTAGTGGCCACTTACGGGGGGAGCAAGCGGGAGGAGATCGTACGAGAATCGAACCACTGACAGCAGATCTCTTTCGAGAAGAGGTCCAAACTCAACTACGTTATGAAAGAGAATTTATTGCATGCAATTTCTAAGTTACGCAGGTCAAGTTCCGTGTTGTCGCTTAAAGTCCGTTGAGCCTGACTAGAAGTCCGCACTGATACAGCGAAGTAGAGAACAGACCATGCATCATATTTAAAACAGTAGAAAATTATAAAACCATCATCCCAAAAAAAGTGGTCGCGGTCGCTTATACACCGCCAGGTGCCCGTCTTACAGAGGTGTCCGTTAAGAGAGAGTTGACTGTATATAGAGATTTGACAGGAGCCTATCAAATGGATTTGATCATGACTGGGAAAATTTGGGGGTTTTGTCATATAAGTCGTGGTCGCTCAGAAGGTTATCGCTTACGACAGGTGGTCGCGCATGGCCGATTTGACTGTATTGCGTTTTGAAATAACTCTCACTGACTACAGGCATGGAAGGGTAATGACCGAGAGCAAATTATTTCTGATTAATATGAAGCAGAGAATGCATGGCTTCGTTTCATACAAGTTGTCCGGCTCACTCAATTCCTCAGTTATAGGCCGAATAACACACTGGTGGACCAAGCTCAATATGAGGTAGAGTACGTGCGGTTGCTTAATTTTCAAAATGGCCTTCATTATAAAGGATTTGCATGGGAATTCAGGTAATAGATTCGAGAAGGTAAATACTCGCATGAATTTTCACTAAAATACTTTTTACCTTGTTTAATTGGTGTCTTTTTGCTTGCAGTGTGGTTATTTTCCCGATCCGTAGCGATTTAAGCGATATCCTTTATCCCGTGTTTCCCCTAATAGCGGATCGGGAAAATAACCCCCCAGGGCCTAGCTGTTCAAAAGGTGGATAACTCTATCCACTGGATAAATATCTATTTAGAAGCAAAACAATGGTGAGTTATTCAGTGGATAGCACTATCCAATATTTGAACACCTAAGGGAAGCTCTCCATTTGGCCCCGGTTAGAGGTAATGCCCGAATTACCTGGTGACACTTCTTTTTCAAAACGCATGTCATGGTGGGTTGTATTTTCTTTCTCTTTCCTTACGTATGCCCGACTTTCATGTGTCAAATTTAACAATTCAAAGTGCTGGTGATTGATATTATGTTTGTACAGATCTTATGGAAAAGTGTCACATTTAAATTACCAAAAAAAAAACGAACTATAGATTCACCTGTTTTAACTCACTTGTCGAACTCAGTATTAGCAGGAAGTCGGGTTAAAGAAATTTGGCCACGTTATTATATTATGATTGTGATTCGGGACATCATTCCATTCCGAAAATTAACTGGGGATCATTTCGGGGGCAATTTGGGGATCATTTGGGGCAGTCGGGATTATTTTGGGGGCAGTAAGATCGCACGAAAATGATATTCACTCGCCCTCTCGTCTCTTCCTCGCTCTATGATCCCTGAACGGACTATTCGTAGTCTACACCAGTCTAGGCTCACTCTTGTTGCTTTAGCTACCATAAATCTATTACGTCCCCTCTCTCTAATACCCCCCTTCCCCTTTCCCTGGGAAGAAAGTTATTAAGCCCGGCAGTCTTTCAAGACCCCTTAAATGGTAAACTGTATTACAAATGTAACACTTCAGACAGATTGATCCTGTATTGTTTCTTAACATGGTGGAAGTTGGGATTTGTTTTTGATGGTTGACTGCACGATCTCCAACTTCATGTGCCTTGGTTTTTTTACTTAAACGTGCTTGGAAAAAACGAGCCCATGAGGAGCTCGAAAGAGGATTCCCGGCCTCAAATTGAAACTCGTCTTTGTTTCAACTGAACGCCGGAAAACTGCAACGCATTCTTTTGCCGAGAACTAGTTCCTGTCCGCTCTGATTGGCTCAGCCTCGCAAAGTACCAAGGTTAATTGGCTGTTAAGCTCGCCGGTTATTATCTTGTACAATTCATTACCATACCACTTCGGTGAATAAGGTTTATGATTACTGGTAAAACGACGTCTCAAGTATTCCCGGCCGCGTCTTTAACATCCGATAGCGTGATGTCCCCTAATGATTCATTTTTCACAGTTGTGAATACCTTTGATTAAGAAAGAAGGACAAGGCGTGGTGTTAAATTGGGGAGGAGGTTGGGTCTCGAAGTGGTGCGCTTTTTAAAAAGGGGTCGCAATTCGACCAATCAACGAGGCGTGCACAAATAACGTGGACGCTGCGTATTCAAAATTTTAATGTCCAGGCTACTAGAGAGGACAAGGGGAAAACAGCATGCTCAGTTTTTACACCACCATTTTTTTAATAGGGCAGATTTTCCCAGTTATTTTCGCGTTTTCCAGATGAAGGTGACCGAAGGCAACCAGAACGGGGGTGACAAATTCAACAATAGCAGAATGTATTACTTAGCTAGCACACTTATTACTATATTAATTAAAATTTCAGTCAGAAATTGTCAAATATACACAGTATTGGATAGACAATGGTAAATACCGGCTATTAAATGAACCGAGTTATATTCGTACTTTGTAATACATTTAAATTCAGTTAAATTCAGTTAAACACTTCAGACAGCGCAACCTCCCTCCCTCTTTATTGGAACTTGCATTTTTTGGAATAAATTCCAAAGTTAAACCGTTGAGAGTTAATGTTGTAAAAAAAAATTGTGACTGTCATAAGAATTTCATGCGCTTGCTTGAACTGGATCTGGTTTCGAGCGATCGTGTAAGTCGAAGAAGACGACGGAGCGGACACGAAATTCGATATCAACAAGAGAAGAGCCATTGAATTGGAAGCGAATAAAACCATTGCGGTTCGTGGCAAACCAGAACAATAAGCTTCGATCGAGTGAACCATTCAATTCTCTCCCAGTTTTTTTTTTTTTTTTGCTTAGACATCTGCGAGCACAAAATGGACAGCGCTCAGTTCTCATTACTGTGGTAAAATTATAATTTACAAGCTTAATTTCAGATTAAAACAATTTTATTTAATATCCCACGGGTTCATCAATACAGTTTCTTAAAAATTCAATACCTTTATTAATTGAACAGTTGCAGCTTAATATATTTTTATAGAAAATATAGCTTACAACCCACTATTCCACATTCTTTATGTTGCTTATCCTTTCAGCTTCTTTACATTACATAAAGCTTATTATGTATAACGTTATATACGTTAACCAAATCTCATTCACATTAGACGCAAAACAAATGTCTACCCTCAATCAGAAATATTCTTGAACTGAGTTTTAATGTTTATATGACATCAACAATGAACATATATATTTTATTTTTATCACAAACACCAGATTAAACGAGTATTGAGCACAGAGTTTTATTTGTTAATACAGTTTACTACTGTAATCGCAACAAAATTATAAATGATTTTGAGATAACCACATTCATACAAACCCAAGTAAACAAGACGACAGTTAAGGACCGAGAATAACAAGATCGGGTAACACAAAGGGTAACACTAAATTAACGAAGTTGACCATGATACACGTTTGCAAGTTTACGGAATCCAGCCATCGAAAGCGTATTATGAAAGCAAATAAAGGTTACTAAAGCACTCTATACCTTACAAACGCATAGAATAATTAATAATGGCGACAGAAATTTAACAAGAGCGTGAGAAAGTTTATGTAAATACAGTGTTAAAAAGAAGATACAGCATTAAACAAGTCGGTATAAATTTGGTTTATAGAGTGGCGACAGCAAGAGATGCCTTTTAGATTTACGGGTCACAGGAAATTATGATACAGGAGGTTTTGCGCGAAGCTCGTAAAGGCATTTAAGCACGCGTTCGGAAGTAATCAGCAAGCCGAAGTAGTCAAAGATAGCGGTCGGAAGTTACCGAAAGTACCCCCGAAGGATTGCGAGAGTGTTCATTAATT